TGTGTGTGTGTGTGTGTGTGTGTGTGTGTGTGTTTAAGTGAAGTTTACAAATTTAGTTTTGTTTAAACTTTGCTCCATGTTTGGGTTTAGTGTATTGTTAGGTTGTGTTAAAGTCAGGGGGGTGTGTTTGGGTTGAGTTTAAGTTTGAAGTTTAAGTTAAAGGTACCACTTTATTCTAAAGTTGGCTCAGCGACCCAGATGGTGGCTGCGGAGCCTCAGAGACAGTGAAACTCATCCTCGTCCATTGGAAGAAGTGTTCGGAGGAAACTGTTCTGAGACCTGGGAGCAGCTGGAGAGACAGTTTTTACTAAACCTGGATAACTGGACCGGAATGAATGAACGGTCACTGATTACAGTAGAGGGCAGCAACACGCCATTGCGGCGTCTCATCTGCCAAATAGAATAAAAAGAAGAAGAAGAGTTGGTTCAGTGGTTTATGTTAAGGGTAGGTTCAGGTTAGAGTTGGGGGGGTGTTTAAGTTTAAGGTACAGTTAGGTCCAGGTTCAATTCAGAGGTATGTTTGGGTTTTTGGTTCTGTTTTAAGTTTAGGTTTAAGTTAAAGCTTTGAGGGTCTCGTAAGGTTTGGTTGGGTTCAGGTTAAAGTTATGGGCCTTGGCGGAGGTCTGCTCACAGATAAATACCATGAGTGTGTTGAAAGCAGAGGTGGCAGCAGAGGGATTCACTAGGAGGCAGACACTAGGAAGATATCACGTGTGCGGCTGCCTGGAGGAGGAAGGAAAAATGAATAATCCAGGGCAGCTCCCGTTGGTCTGGCGTGGGTCTTGGAACATTCTCCTGATGTGTGGAAACAGACGAGTGCTGCAGCTCCAGAGGTCGTGACGAGACGGCAGGTGATGAAGATGAAGATGAAACAGAGCAACAAGCTGCTGATGTCAGGGCATCATGAAGTCCAGAGTCCCAGCGAGCACTGGCCGTTAAGGACGTCAGTGTCTCCCGTCAGGTGTCATAAGTGTCATAAATGGGGAAACAACCAGCACTAATCGTCATTGTCAATTAACCTGCAGACGACTTGATCAGTTCATCCTTTTATCGTTTGGTAGACTACAGCAGTGCCCGACAGACAGCCAGGCAGAGATCTGGGGAATTAGTGGATAAATAAAAAATAGATGGTGGATATTCATTGCTAAGTAAATATTCTTATTCTATTTGTGCTTCTTTCTCTGTTCGGAGTTCATGTAACTGTCACCGGTGGCAGCGAGGCCAAACCAGATAACACTGGAGACAATGGGACTCGAGATAAGAGAGGAATTCATTCCTCAGCAAAACTGCTGCAAGACTCTTTCAATTTCTGCTTTTACAGTTTTAGACCGTTTACACAATAACCCTACCCTAACCTAATCGTTAACCTAAACTAACCTAACATAACCTTACTTTAAAGTGTGTCTTCAAATTAAAATGTAATTATATACTTCACTCTGTCCCAATAAGAAAGACAAGTTCCCTAAATTTGTAAGACTGTAAACAGCTTCAGTGTGTGTTCCGAGTCACACATGTCCCCACAACATGCGTAACAACCGGTTCTCACACACACACACACACACACACACACACACACACACACACACACACACACACACTCATCATTGCTGTAAAATTACCTCAAGTTGTGTAAAAGTCTTTCGTGATCATTTGAAATTTAAGATACATTTGACTCACTAGTAATTATGAAAAGTGTCTTATATTATAAACCAGTAAAACATGTGATGTACCAGTGAATGGTGATGATCCATTGTGTGTGTGTGTGAGTGTGTGTGTGTGTGTGTGTGTGTGCGCTGTGATCTTTGACGATGGCGCCCGTGTACAGAGGATCTTAACTGGCTGAGTGGAGCGATGGATTGCATTATTAGCGTTTTCGCTCTGGCTTCTCGACGTGCATTCCTGCAACAGAAGTGAGTCCTCCACCACCTCCTAATCATCCAGATGATTACTCTTGCAATTCAAACCACTGGCGAGAAATAGTCTCCTCATACTCCCGACATGTGATGTGGTCCACCAAGTCAAGTTCATATCAAACGTGATCCAGAGTCTGACTAAACAGTGGACGATCCCTTTTGTCGAGGCAACGCACTGCACGTCTGACTCAGCAGTGATTAGATGAAGCTGAGGAACAGTTTCAGTTGATTTGTCAAATCGTTTACACTTCTAACATTTGTGCATCCGACTCTTTCCTCCAAACTTTGATATATGTGACCGAACACGAGGCTCTACAGCATCAGAGACGTTCTCCGTCGTCACAGCCACCTCCAGAATTCAACCAGGAGCAAACACACAGCCGTGCATGCGTTGGGGCAAATGACACTGCAGCTGCGACGCTGATGGAGGCACATGCACATTTGTTTTAGTTACCATGGCAAATAGTCCGGCAGGAAGGTCTGTGACCACTGGAAAGAAAGTGCAAATATCTGAGCATGACAACTACTTTTAATGTGTGAGAAGACGTATGTGTGAGTATGTAACAGGAAAGGGTGGAGAGATTTTGATCATTTCTGAAAGGAACATAATCCACCCCCCACTTGCTCTCTCCCTCCCTGCCACCTCCCTCTCTCTCTCTCTCTCTCTCTCTCTCTCTCTCTCTGAGTCCCAGCCCCTGAAGGTGTCATAACTGTGCACTCTCTCTCTCCCCCTCTCTCTCTCTCTCTCTCTCTCTCTCCCTCTCTCTCTCACTCACTCACTCACTCACTCTCTATCACCGCCTTTCAGATCTTTAAAAGCTGGTGCTTTGCTGTTTCTCTCTCGATCTCCATTTGTCTCCTCTGGCACTGCAGGGGACTCAACCGGCAAAGCACCAAGGAAGACTACTGTATAGAAACAGGAGGAAGACCGAGGGAAGGAGAGAGAGAGAGAGAGAGAGAGAAATATACATCCAGAAATAGCATCAGCCACATTTAACTGATAGAGAGTGACAGTGTGAAGAACCTGAGACCTGGACAGAAAATGCCTATCCTTTCTAACTTAACAGCCATTGTTTTGTTGCTCATTGCCCACTGCGGATCGTGGAGCTGGGCAAACCGCTTGGGGCCCTTCAAGGTCTGTCCCTCCTGCAGGGATCCACTGGGGGCAGGTCGGCCCCCCAGGGACCATAATGTTGCCGGCAGCACATCAGTGTTGGCCCAGGGAGAGCCCTGTGGTGTGTACACACTGAGCTGTGCCAAGGGGCTCCGCTGTGTTCCCCCACCACGGGAGCACAGCCCCCTCCAGGCTCTGTTGCAGGGACGGGGTATTTGCGCCAAGCACAGCAGGACTAGTCCCACTGAGAAGCCCCCCCCCACAGGTAAGATACTGTATATATACACACACACACACGTGCATGAAATCACGTATGCACACATACATGCACGCATGCACCTAAAGATGGTCATGCATGGAAACTGCCGGTAGCCTTGAATTGCACAGTGGTTTGTTGAGGATGTCACAGTCTCCACACATGATCATATCTGAAGTGAGAATCCTGCTTATCTATAGATTGCATGTGATGCTGTGTCACTCACCAACAAAAAGAAAGCGCAGTTAGTGTGTGACATTTAAGCCTGGATGCATTTTGTGCAACACATACGAATCTGCAAACCTCCACAATCCAAGACGCTCTGCAGCGGCTCACTGTGATAAAGATGAACATTTGTCTTTACAGTCCAGTCATTAATCAGAAATGATAGAAAATCCCCTCAAAGCCCAGTGGCTCTTTGTGAATATCAGTCAGTGAGAAACAGTGTTTTAAGTTAAAATGCACATTTATATGATTTGTTCATTTCAGTGACAGAGTGTGCGTCCGTCCTACAAGTCATGATCTCTGTGGAGAATCTAGAATGAATGTGAAACTGTCACAGTGTCACCTACATCCTGATCAAGCAGCTTTTCATTGCAGTGATCCCCATCTACTGTTCAAACGGAGATACTGCGATTAACTGTGTGAGAAGGACACACTGATGGACATTAGGTGTCTCGGGGACCATCAGACAGATCTCATCTGTGTCTCCGTGTTATGTTATGAAATGTGACATTGAATGTGGTTTGACGATGGTTTCGTGTCACGTTCTCATGCTGGTGTGTCGTTTCCTCTCAGGTCCACATCCCTCACACAGCGGTGACATTGAAAAAGTAAGTTCTCGCTCTTATTTTACAGTCTTGAATGAGTGAAGCTGACGG